GTCGAAGATGATCGCTGTCTTTGAGCGGTTTTTGCTTGTGAGGAAAATAGAAACATGGGATACTCGACGTAGGCTCTTATTTATCTAGGTATACAATGAGACGAGAAACATACGTCTATTGTGCAAGCATTGTATTACTACACTATGAGGGCCATAATCAATGATCAATTCTATACTCACATTATTTGACATTGCTTTGTATTATGTGAATCAGAATAAGTTTTTGTCCAATCAAGATGCGAGGTTCTCTGAGGACCGGAATGATGTAGTCAAACTGTGGTATCATTTTAAGTGATACCAGATCGAGGCTGATAATTATCCAGATGTGCGGAAGGTGAAAGATGAAGAAAACAGTAAATAAAGAGGAGGCCAAGGTAAGACACCAAAGCTTCATTTTTGGTTTTAATTTTTACCATTGTCATCAAAGCAGCCGATTCCACGAAAACGAAATGTCGCTTTTCTAATAGCTGAGTAATTACCGGACCATTACAATGTCGTCAATCTTAAGGATCATGCGCACACACTCCGTAGCCAACGAAATTTGACTTGTGTTGACCAACAATGGCTGCAGCACATTGAGTTCATACATGTCACTGGTCGACCCTTTGAGAACGTTAATGCCCATGCTCGTTTGACCCTGTGCATGTTTCGCACGCAGCTCCGTGACGATGGCAATTGGGTGCAATCCTGCATTCTCTGCAAGTGTAAACGGCACAATTTCCATTGCATCTGCAAATGCTTGAAGACAATAGCTCGCTGTGCCTTCCAATGAGCGTCCATACACAGCTAACTTTTGTGCCACCTGAATTTCAGGCGCACCACCACCACAAATGAGGAACCGCTTCTTCACAAGGGAGCGTACAACACAAAGTGCGTCGTGTAGCGAGCGATCCGCTTCTTCCAGTACGAGTTTATTCGAGCCACGAACAAGAATCGATACAGTCTTTCCTGCATTGAAAATTTCCGTAATCTTTACAACCTTGTGACCACCCACAGTCTCTTCGTGTACTAAACCAGCAGTACCAAGCTTCTCAGGAGTCAAATACTCAATGTTTGCTACAGGAAGACAGTTCAAAGTAGTAGCAATGTGCTCAATATCATTGCGTTCAACATCCGTGATCACTCGAATGCCCATTTTGGCCAGAAAATGCAGCGACAAGTCGTTCGTGGCGTCACGAAGAATACTTTTTTGGATTAAAAGCACATTAGCACCTGACTTTTTCACCTTTTTGCACAAATTTAATATGTACTTGCGCTCTTCACGTAGAATACGGTCCATAGCAGCATAATCGTTGATCACTACATTGCTTTCCATATCTGCCTTGGGTGCTGAAAGGCAAAATTGAATCAGTGCAATTTTGGCGTTTTCTATGGTCGTTGGAGCGGTTGTTGAAGCGGTTTTATCGAATCCTTTACTAAACACTAATCCTTCAACAAGTTCTGAATCATCAATAGTACCACCAAGTTGTTTAACCACGCGCACAGTGTTAAGATCCACGTTCGTGGCGGTGGTTATGTCAATGACCTTGAGCACAGCATCAACTGCAATGGGGGAAAGACGATCAGCGTACTCCGAGATGACCTTGGAGGATAGTGAGGTATTCACACAGTTAATAAGCTCCTCGCGGTTGGCAAGCTCCACAGGCTTGGCCATCTCAGTAAGTATTTCCTCAGCTTTGACAGCAGCAAGACCGAAAGCCTCCGATATGTTAGTCGGATGAATACCTTTAAGCAGAAGGTCCTCACAAGCACTCAGTAATGCACCAGCAATGACACAAACACTCGTAGTGCCATCACCAGCCTCAATATCTTGAGACTTGGAAAGGTCCACAAGCATCTTGGCCGTAGGATGGTACACTTGCATCTGGCTTAAGATTGTGGCACCATCGTTAGAAATGATTACCTCTCCTTTTCCCTGTTGGATCATTTTGTCCATTCCACGTGGACCAAGACTCGTGCGAATCGCATTGGCGATAGCTAAGGATAGAAAAATCAAAACTCAATAACAAAGATGGACATGTTTGTGATGAACTTGACTTACAGACCTTTGGCAGCAATAATGTTGGACATACGAACATCCTTCTCTTTCTGTTTGCCACGAAGAGTTTCGCCGGTAGGGCGAGCTATTGTTACGGGGGCAGCCATACTGGGTTAGATCGGGTGGGTATTGGAATCTTTGACTGGGCGACAAGTGCACACAGAACACACACTATTTTACATTATTTTGTTTAGAATAGCATGTATTGTAAAAAAATTGCAACAGCAATTTCAATTTAATAGTGGCTGAGGAAGGTGCATTACTATTTTCTTCCTTTCTTACTTAATTAATCCCAATTTATATCTTAAAAACCGCTTGCTCTGATCGGGAAATGGATTACACAACTCAAAATACTTCACTTTGAAGCCACTTGACCAGGATCAGCAAGTGCACGAAGAATCATGGGTGCAACTTGCTTCCGTGAGGCACTTGAATTAAGTTGATTAAAAGCGATGACGTGGTTATCGCGATGCAATTCCGGTAAAATCAATGGTTCCATTTGCAATGTTCTTTCTTTTTTTAACTTCTCCACACAATGCTTCGCATCATTTCCGACTTTTTGAAAGAAAGCCAACTGGCGGTGACGTTCTTTGTCGGGCGTTATAAAGATGGTCATTATAACAAGAAATACTATGCCATTTTGTTTGCAAAATTCAGACAACCTTTGGCACAGCTCAGCAGCATCTTTAGTTTTACGCACAAATGTCTCGAAATCAATCAAAATTGCACTTATGCCAACCTTTGTCGCGTCACCAGCTGCCGTGGTAAATTTAAACTCTTTGTAATCCGCCTGCAAACAATTCACCAGCGAAAATGCGTGCCAGTGCACAGGGTCAAACTTTTCTGTCTGCAGCCATTTAAATAACGCCTCTTTATCTGCAAAGGCCATTGGCTCTAGTATCCCTGCCGCCTTGACGTCTCTTGGAGTTACCTTTTTCGCACTTGGGTCAAAGTTAATGCTATCCAAAGAAATTACGCCCAATAACATAGTTGCTAAAAGTTTGTGAACGTCATCACTTTTTATCTTGATCATTCTCTCAACAACTAGCGTGCATGTTGACGCCACCAGTGCGTTTCCATTGGCAAACGCAACCTCTCGTTTCTTAGCGTCCAAATGCTGCCCTTGATCCGAATGGTGATCGACAATCTCCACAACCTGAAAATTATGCGCGTGTGGAATCTTTTTATTGCTCATCGCATTATGATCCATCAGCGTAACTGTAATTTTGCTTTGAAGTTCCCATGGAAATTCATCCACAAACACAAGCGCGTCAGTATCCACACCTAGCTTCTGGAACAGTGCAGAGACATCGCATCGCAAAATTAATTCCGACCGAGGAATGGGCAACACGGGTACGTGTAGCAATTCTGGCTTTTGCTGATGATTCAAATAGGCATAACTGAGCGAGCTGACAATGGAATCAGCATCTGCTGCCTCATTGCCAATCAACACATGTACCGACGTAGGTGCTGGCGAGTTTTTTAAAGTGCAGCGTGTGGACCGCAGAAAGTCATTAAATAGCGCAACACTCGAATATCGAGCAGCAGCTGAGTCTGTGTGCCATATACAAGAAGAAAAGGACATGGTGCCAATATGCAGTGGAAGGCGTAACAAGCGCAAATGCATGCTGTAGACTAACGATTTCAACTGTACTAGTACCAACTCTGTGGTACAATTTCTCTGGTCTAGACAGTTGAGTTCATCCGCTATACTTTCCAAGAAGCGTCTTCTTCCGATTGATTGAATACGATATCTAACGTCATTGCCTTGATTTAGACTTTGTGTATTATAACATTAATTTCGGCAGGCACGTCGTAACCAGACATGATTAACTTTAACGTTAAAGCAGATGAGAGTTCCCAGGCGTTAAGTCTGGGAGACCTCCTCTTATTGCTGCTGACAATCTCGCTCTTTTTCCTCCTCAGTGTCGTATCTGGGCGCATGCTTTACAAACAATACGCGGCTAAGCGCAAGCGTCTCTCGACCATGACGACAGCCACTGAAGAGGTCTCCGGGTCTGCACCAGCTGGTCGGGTGTCGTATTCTGCCGTTCCTCAAGCCCCAACAACGTCGATCAATGTCGTGGGTGGATCCGAGGCCGCTCTTATGGAAGATGAGGGCGCTGCTGCTGCTTCAACTGGCTTTGAAATGCGCCAGCGCCTATTTTTGCTGCTGTTTATGGCCTCAACCTTGCGTGTTTGTTCTTTAATTACTGAAGTGGCGACTTTGGAGATCGTGGCAAAACTGCCTGCAACTTCCGCATACTGCAGACTATTGACATTTTTCCTCTGGCTACCATCTATGCTATTCGTGTCCATGTATGGACTTGTGCTGCTATTCTGGGCACAATTGTGCTATGCGTGCTGGGGTAAAGCTTATCCATGGCCTCGGCGAATTTTTTTTCTCTTCAATGTATTTCTTTACGTGAATTTTGCACTATTATTTGCATTTGCAAACACATCAGCTGGACTCTGGAGAGGTTGTGACTTATTACAAGGAAGCGTCTTTGTTTTAGGACTTTTTGGTATTTTGTACTACAGTCTTCGTCTTATTGACTTCTTTCGTAATCAAAGTCCAGACGAAGATTTTTTCTTCGATTTGTCATCCGCAGCAATGGCTAATAACAACGCTTCTCAAATTCGCTCGGGAGCGTCGTCACTTTCTATTGCAGCCGAGCTATCTCCCCGACAGCTTGTTCTACGAAGGGTACAATGCAGTTTTGATTCGAAATTTATTGGCTTGATGGACGAACACTGATGATTTACGTTGTTGATTAGATTACGGCGGTGTGCATTCTGCTTTGTGTTCTTTTTACGGTGAAGGCACTTTATCTGTTCGGCATGGGTTTGGGATATATGGAATCGGACGAATTTCAGTACCGCGGGCCTGTTGGTGTCCACTATATCGCATACGAATTCACAATTCACTTCTCCACCGAATTTATGCCAAGCGCGCTCTTGCTTTATTTCACCCGCCACGATAAGGCGTCGTCGGCCCAGCGACAACGTCTTCGCTCGTCATCCGCAACTTCAGCATCTGCTTCCTTGTCCAGCAGCAGCTATGGTGCGAACAACGCACGTGATAAGCCTCCAACACCCAGTTTTACTTATGTACCGATCCGAGGCAATGGTCATGGGATCGCTGCTGGGCACCCATATCAAGAAGACGCCATTTCGAAGCTTTCTGGATATCAGTATCAGGTACATCTATATCTGACCCTTTCTTAGAAAACAATTTCACATGCCAAAATTTTGATTTTGTAGGCAACACAACGCGCGTACGGATCAACAAGCACAACATTGGCAAAACCTGCAAATCTTCGCTCGAGCAACAATAGCGGTGCATTTTTACTTGATAGCATCAGTGGCGGCACATTCGGCAGCGCCGATCCCAATACAGGCTTGAATACAAAGGTGGCAGAACGTTAAGCTTAAATATATATAACATCATGTCCTGTAATATCTTTCATGTATTCTTCTCATGCAATGATAAAATTGAGTAAAAAAACTAACATTGAAGGCAAGAAAGAAAAATGAAATCCTTTTGCAAACAGCACACCAGGTCATTTAATCACTAGCAATTATCGGTAGAGGGTATCACCATGAATTCAAGTGTTGTCTGTGCAACAATACTGCCGACAGAAGATATGAGCGATTCCGAAACGGTAAAGATAGCTAGTTTGTAACGGGGTTACACGTACCCTTGCATGAAAGCCTACATCGGTGTGGATAACACAAGTTGGTGTAATCACACAGGAAGGTCAGCTTCTGCCAGTGCTAATCAGGCATATCGCGTGAGATCGCATTTCCTTGCTGCCTGACAGGGCAAGTTGGTGGACATTGTCCAAGGGTTGCAAACTCTTATTGCCGAGATATCCTCTCCCCGAGGCGGTCGCAGTGCTGTGGCCGTCTTTTTGGAGGGCCTCCATCACAAGGGCCTCCTTCTTGATGCCTCGGCCATCCCTTGGCCAACCATGTGGCGCTTCTGCTTCCTAGCATAGGTATGTTCATGACTACGTGCGCATAGCGCCCAAGGTCTTCGATCTCCAATCAATCCATGGCTCATGGCGTTCCAACCATACCATACCAAGGATTAGGTCATAATTCTAAGACTAGGCAACGCTCGGGCTTAAAACCGAGGTCCACACGGACCCTCGGCACAGTGACACAAGTCCCCGTCGCTAAACGAACAGTGACGGTGTCACTCAACTGCTCTTCCAGTGCCTCAGCATACAATTGATTTCCTCTGATCGTGGAGCGTCAAGCATGATTGCCCGACGCGCCAGAATCGATGAGATCTTTTATGGATTATTAAAGCCCTTCACGGTCGTTTTTACAACCAGCAAGCCCGGCTTGCACACACGTTCTGTGTTCAAGAGCACAGAGCTCTTTGGGGATGAGCCCTGTTGTCCTCCACTTCTTTAAGGCTCAACAGAACTCAGTTCTTCACTAGTAGGGCGCCTCGCACCTACTGGGTGTTCTCGTTCTCCAGCGTCAAACCAGACTGGTTAAAACCGGGACATCGGTTCGACGAACTTCTAAGCGCTTTGCGCAAGGGACATCCAGTCCAAGGGTGACGGGTTTCTCCACAGACAAGACACCGTCGGGTGTTCACACGTTACCTGATAGCTCGGAGTTCTCCCTCCTCTTACTTAGCATAGCTGAGATCCATCAGCTCAGGCCCGCTCGACGAGCTCTGAGGGTGTGCATTCCAACCAAGTCGTGCTGACATGAAATTGAATTCGGCATTGAATGCCACGTTCACCGCTTCTTCACAAGAAGACAGATGCACACGGAAGACTTCCATTCTGGCCACGCCAGTGCGCACTGAGCACTGCTCACGTTACGGTGAAGTTGCTGCGTGCCAAGAATGGCATGGTCGGACGAGACCCGATGCATCAAGGGCGAGGCCCTAGTGATGTGCGTGGAGTGGCACGTAAACCACTGAGTACTGCTAACGTTTCAAAGCATTTTCTGCATACCAAGAGTGGCATTGTCGGACGAGACCCGAGGCATCCTGGGCAAGGCCCTTCTGATCCGTGTTGAGTGGCACGCTATCCACTGGACGAAGACTGCGGAAATAGCAACTCTTCGTCGGATGTTGTTGATATAATCAAGACTCCGATGGAGCAGGGAGTGGGGACATTGGATGATGCCGAGTGCGTGTTCCCACCAATCTCGATGAGACGTAAAACCTTTATAGAGTGGAGACGGCAGAGCCATATAATATCTGCAAGACGCAGGGCGTCGACCCTGACTCAGGGTGTGTCTGCTATAGACGATAGCGCACAGCTATATCCCTTGTCAACGGTGCGAAGGAAGAGAAAGACGGTGACGTCACCCTCGAGGCTATCCCCACGGTGGATGTTCGTCTTGAGCTGGACGAGATGTCCTTTGAAGAGTTTGGCGGAGCCTTGAAGGCAGGCAATTTAGCCGAGGTGGTCATTATAAGACCAAACGAGGAGATTAATTCGTCGTCGCTTCCGGATGAAGCTGTACTAAGTGGATGCTGAACGCACGAAGTGGATCGTCAATCCTGAAGGATCCTTCGGATCTGTATTATTTTTCGGTAAAGAAATTCCGAGACGTCACCGTCGGTCCAACCTCCGGACCGAGGTGTGCGTCATAAGATTGACCTGGTTCCGGGAACCAAATACTGCGTAACACACCAATGGCCCCCGCCCAAAGAGCAGTGTGACGTCACTGACGCCTTTTTCCGTGCAAAACACGAGGCAGGAATGGTTCGTGAGAGCAAGTCTCCCCATTCGCCACCCACGTTTTGTGTTGGGAATCCGAACGGCATGTGGCGGATCGCTCAAGCTAAAAATGCTGCCACCATTCTGGCATAGACGCCTATACCGAGAAAAAATGTTCTCCAGAACATGGTTGGCTGTACAAAGTACAGTGCGCTCGACTGGGTCGATGGTGATCACCAATTGGTTATGAGAGCGAGTGACATTCCGCTGCTAGCGGTTAGCACTCCGAGCTGGATGCTCTGGGAGCGGCTGATGATACCCCAAGGACTGTCAAATGCACCCGCAACATTTAATCGTCTTGTGACGGAATTATTTAGGCCCCATCGAACGTATGCACAGACATAATTCGACGACATCTTTGTCCACAGTCGTGTGGGGCACGGGAGGACAGATGAGGAGAACCGCATCGTCCGTTTGAGAGCGTTGTTCGAGTGCATGCGCACGAATAAGCTGTATGCTAATGCAGATAATTGCATCGTCGGCGCTGAAAAAATTCCGATTTTAGGGTGCTTCATTGGGAAGCGTGGCCTTCAAGCGGGTCCCGCTAAGTCCAAGGCCATTGTGGACTGGTCGGTTCAAAAGAACTAAAAGGACTTGCGCAAGTGGCTTGGCCTCGCAAACCTCCATAATTATAGCGCAAATTATGCGGAAATGGCACGGCCTTGTCTTATCTCCTTAGGAAGGATACAGAGTGGTGTTGGGACACCGAGCATCGTAAGGTTTTTTTTTGACAGGGTCAAAGACAGCCTCCTTTATACATCAATATTGGCGATGCCAGACCCCGATCGTCCTTTTAGTGTCGTCTGTTACGCTTCGGACTTTTCCATTGGCTGTGCACTGCTGCAAACAGACGCCGAGGGGCGAGATTGGGTGATCGCGTTTTAATCTCGCCAGATTAAGACTACGGAGAAGAACTAGCCAGTCACGACAAGGAATTACTTGCGATGAAGTATGTACTTATCAAGTTCGTGGTGCACCTGCTTGGCTCAAAGCCGTTTGTGATCTGCACAGATCATGCGTCACTACGCACTGCGTCTCAGCTGCCGCACCGTTCGCAGAGGATGACCAGGTGGCTTTTCTTCTTTGCAGAATATAACTTCGAGGTGAAGTATAAGCCAGGAAAGCAGAATGCTTCGGCTGATGCGTTGTCGCGCAGACCAATTATAAGCTTGCTCATGTCGCGACGGTGACGTCGTCAGTGACGGATTGATCCACGCCGCATACACGGGTGGTGGTATGTGTGTAGCGCTGCTACAAGCACTCTGTAGCGCGGCTGTCTCTTTGCTTCTAGAAAGCTAAGCAAAGGTCACCGACCTTTCGTTCTATACACAGACAGTACGAGAGTAGCGGATCGCAATCCGCTACCTTCAAGGATACTTAAAAACTTCAACTAAGGTAGAGGTGCTCTTCCGTTCAAAATTGAAACTGTTTCCCCTTTGCTTTATTTGCGGCAGAGCCGACTATATCTGAAACCTTAAATTATCTAATGAAAAAGTAAAATCTTATAACTACTGGCATTCCTGCCACGTAGTGGCTTCTTGCTTCGGTGTAGCCACACCATTGTGTGATCACACCAATTTGTGTAATCCACACCTTTGTACGGTTACACTATCTTGTATGACCCACCCTTTCATACAACGGTACGTGTAACTCCGATACACTCTGGGTGCTTGTAACTCCGTTACATTGTCTACCATCAAAATTGTGGATGCCGACAATTTACATTTCACTGCCGCCTCATACAAGGCTCGTGTGTCTGAGACACCGTTACGTCCATAAGAACATTTTTGTACATTTTCCGCTCAATGAACCCTGTGGTCATGACACGAAAAACTTCTAGCCTAGCTGGTTCCGAGGAAGCCCGCGGGTAAAGCCCTTCTTCTTCTTTTGCACAAGGTGCATCTCGGGACAGTATGTCCGCGGCTTTACGGGAAGCACATCCCAAGACCTCGGCAACCGAGCGCCACACACTGCGCTTGCCACGACGACGAATTTACTCGTCGAGGATTCGGAGGATGTCGAGTACTAGTCGGATACATCTTTCCCAGCATGGGAAGACGAGGAAGGCGAGGTGCGCCAACGGCGCGACGTGAGCTCTATTCAAACCTAGCGGAAACCGTGTCCGTTCCTCGACCTCTCGACTTCCAGGGGGAGTGGAATAATTATCCACGCTGCCTTACAAGTTTGCTGAGGTAGATGAAACGGTCCCTATCATGGTCAAACTGATTGAAATTGTGACAAACCCGGATCATATTGTGAAGTCGGCTATTGCTTGTCCACTCGTGTTTAACAGTGCGTTGTCGCTTGCGATGGCAGGCGACGGCATATTGATCGGCGGTCTCGCGCATTTGCACTTAATCTACCGTGTGATGAGCGAGACGTATCCCATCGAAGACACGACGATCTTGACCAAGTTGAAGCGTATCATGGGAATGTCTGTCCCGTCAAATCACTATAACATCTTCAAGGCGTGTGCCAGGTGGTGGGCCCGTACGGACGAAGTCGCGGAGCTGCCACGAGCGTTGAAGCTGCTCGGCATATTCGAGCTCTCGCCCATGTCGATCGCGCCAATACTGTTCAAAAATGATCACTGGATTCAGTACCTCACTTGTCAACCGGTCGAATGGATCCCAGCACATCACTCGCGCTTCCCGCACCCGAGCACACTACTGCTTTTGCTTCGGTCGGACAACGGTTTGCTCTGCATGCAGCAGTGGCGAGATGTGCAATGGCAGGGTCATTAGCTTGATGACTTTGAAGAGCTCGATGGCTGTTACCCGGTCGACTCATCGATGCTAAAGCTTCACGTGGACACCGATGGTCTGGTGGTTCCAGTGTCGGGCGGCTTAACCACTCGCTGCTAAAGTTGTTTCGGCAGTACAACACGACTGGAACGCCTTGTCCTTGATGACCGTGAACACGAATGGTGTTAAGAAGAGCGGACACGTGTTTATCGACAACCTTCTCTCGAAGCACTCGGTATCGTGAGTTCAAGAATCCAAGTTTGGCAGCGCACAGCATCTTGCGACCTTTAGCTTTCATCGCAACTCAAGCTTTAAACACAAACTTTTCGTCAACGACTCAAACGCGCTGTTGAATCGACCCACGAATGGTCGAAGCAGCGGCGTCCTTACGCTTCTGCGCTTCGATGTTCCCGGCTTTGATACGGCTGTTCAGCTATCGCGGCTATCGGTGCCGGGACGCTACCTCGTCGTGAAACTGATGGTCGAACTCGCTCCCGTCTACATTCACAACGTGTATGCGCCCGTCGATCGACAAGAGAAGCTGAAGTTATTTGCGGATTTGCCAACCGACGAGTTCGAGGACGACGCGACGCACTTTGTGCTTGGTGATTTGAGCACACCACTCAACCCAAGATTGGACTGTTCGAAGCCCGATTTACGCTACGGCCCGAGTCGCTCCAGTTGTCTGGAGTGGCTCGCGAAACTCTGCGTCGTCGATACGTGGCACATCCACTTCGACACCAAACGCGTGTTCACCGGTCCACTCCCGCGAAAGAATCGGCTTGACTACATCTTGACGTCAGATGAGTTCTGCGACCGTTTTTACGATAAGTCCGAGTAGTTCCTGCCCAAGCACGGTGGTGATCATCTTGCACACAGCGTCTCGTTCAGCTCGGGCACGCAGCTCCACGGTCAAGGGTACTGTAAGTCTCCCCGCTACCTGCTTTACTATCTAAAGGTTGTCTCTGCGATCAAATAGGAAGCCGAGCTCGCCCGGAAACAGTTACGTGCTGCTGAAAACCCCGACGAAAACGTGATTTGGTGAGCATCAAGGCGCAGCTGCAAGGCGTGCAGAAGATGATACGACAGATAGATTTGCAAAGTGTTGAAGCTGCCCGTAACGCGCTGGACCCAGTCGCCGAACGGTATCGCGTATCGTCGAACGAGGACAACAGTGAGCTCTTCGACGAAGCGATGCGTGATTACGAGAGACGGCTCTAAGATCAATGCATTCGACTTTCAAGCAGCAAATTCCGAACGTTCCACCAAGAATCTTTTCCGTCCACTAGACACAGGTTTACGGCGTGTTTCGATCGAGGAAGTCGTGACACCGAGTGGTCATGTCTCGACAAATCCACAAGAAATCTCGCTGCGCTTTTTTGAGCATTAGGGCTCCGCGATGGGGGATGCAAATAGTCTGACTGAATGGCGCCTCCACCCGATGACGGCAAACAGCGCCAGCTTCTTGACTCGGTCTTCCATTTTGTCACAGACTCCGACCGCGAGATGCTCGACGCTGAGCTGACGACAGGAGACCTCGCTTGTGCGATCCGGCATATAAAGGCGACATCATCTCCAGGTATGGACGGCTTGACTGCTGGATTTTACAGAGTGGCATCACTGTTTTCGGATAATTCTGACACCATTGTCACACCACACGCTTCATACGGATCACAAACAGACCACTGTGCGTATCCATAAACGAACCCACGTTGTGTGCACACTTTAATCGTTCAAGTACGGCTTGAAGGGAGACGGTGTCCTCTTTGTCCACATACACCCGCCGCATGCAGTAGCGCACATGCGCATGGAACGTTGTCAGAATGACAGCGAATGAAGAAACAGCTGGCGTGGGGAGACGGCCTTCAAAATGGCATCGGTTGCGATTGGACCAAATGAAATGCAGTGTCACTGCGCACATGACACCCCACATGTCATACACAACACATTTTTGCACTGAACATTCCGGACGAACAGAAGGCAAGTGGGCGGTGAGCAAGTGTGCAGTCGAAAAACAGATGCTGGAGCGTTTTCACAGTGTTGCAACCACTGCGAACGCAGCATATGATACCAGGGTTCGTAGGTTGTAGGGACCAAAAACCAGATATGACTGGAAGTAGCTTGAATGCAACACGGAACTGAAGGTCATCAAAAATTGGCAATAGAAGACGTTGCATTCGTTGTTGGCGGCGCACAGCGCGCGCAACAGTGTCGACGTCTAGTGGCGGAACAGCAGAGTGCTGGGTTACGGGATGGGGTTTCTGGGGCTGCGCAGGCGTCCACACAATACCAAGCAGGAATTTTCTGGGAATATTGGGAATTATGAACGACCGAGTCGAGGTAGCAACACCAAAGTGTAGGGGCATCGGCACGGCCGCGCCAGATGTGTACGAGTCGGACACACGCGTCTCACCACTTGCGTAAGCTCCTTGTAGAGTCTCTCCAATATCACAGCCTGGGTGTATACTGTCGGGGACTGTAAGGTGTAGTCCACATACGTATCGACAAACACATTACAGCTAGGCCATGTATCCCCAGCACCGAAAAAATCTGACAGACAGCGGAGGCGGAACCGCTGTGCCACGCGCTTGCGAAAACCCGTGTCTGGTTCTGGAATCATGCCAATCGGG